GAGCAGATGCTGCAGCACCTACTTTTCCAAAGGCCCGTGTGCATGCATACCTACCTACTGTCCTCGTGCCATCTACCTACCTTACCTTAGGTATCCAGGCGAGCATTTGTATGTATCAAAGGCCACAGACGACCGGGCACCTTCGGCCGTCTCTGAAAACAAGACCTACCTTACCATTCGCTACTCGGTTCTTCCGCCAGACATGGGATCAGCGCCAGCGGATTGGGCAAGCTGCATACAGGCACTAGGTCGACATGCCATCTTTTCAACAAATGGTTTCGTCTTCCTGCATCGTACAAGGGCACGGCGCGCCAATGGCCACGCAAGCCTGCAACGCTCGACTTGCCAACCACATCCACCCATCGGCTTGCGTCGCCACTAAAGCCATCAGAAAAAAAAAGGTGTCTCCCGCGGAACGGTGCGCTCTTGCAGGTGCATAGTCACCCGTGATCCGCTGACACCTCGGGGGCCCCCCCCTGGGCTAGGCTGCGGTGTCCAGTTATGACTGGCGAATCCTCGACGATCTTCTCGATGCAGCACGCGGCACCAACCACGCACCTGTGCGGCGTCCGGCAGCTTGACATGCGTATAGGAACTGGCCACGTCTCTCCATAGACGCCGACTGCTGCAGGTTTGCTGCGCCTCCATATTGCCAACCCACTTTCGCCCACAGCAATCAACAGCCCAGGTCGAGAGAAAGGGAGAGGGACGAGAAGTCAATTCGTCATACGACTAGCTGTATCCAGCTTTTCACCAAGGCAGAGGGGTCAAATTAGGCGGGACGGCGCAGAGGGATGGGGACCATTGCCGCCCTTGACATCCGACACAGGAGATACCTGTAACTGTTTCCAGAGCTGCAGACGCGGATTCACAGGTAACAAGCCCATCCGTTCAGCGGATCTAGGTTCAGCTCGCAAGAACAATACGCGGATTGTCCACGCAGCCCTCCAGATCGTCATTCAGGGGCAGTTTGCTGGAGAATCACCGGGGAAGAAGAGTGAGGAAGTGGCATACCACTACAAGATACCACGTATTGCTGGGAGGGCGTGTATGGATTGCGACCAGTTGAGGCCTGCAACCAATCGCCGCACCGTCTTGAGGTCCTGGACATTGGTAACCTCCAGCCAAGCCTGTGATGCCAGAGGAAAAACAGCAGTGGACGGCAGAACAGAGCCAAGTATTTGCCTCACCGCCACGACGACAGTTTGACCCAGATTTTCAAGGCACGGAGTACGGAGCAGTTTGTACCTCGAGGTGAATTGTGACAAGAGGAACCTACTCGTACATACTTGTACTCATAGTCCCGCTACCGGCGCGGTCCCACCCGTGCCATCAGGTCAATTGGGCTGCATGTCCCTTGGGACAGCCAGTGGGCTACGGTGGAGGACGCTGACCCCAGCCTCGCGGATCTGCGGCTTCATCACCCGGCCCGCCTACCCGGAGCCGTGTCGGGTGGATGGCCGATGACTGGGCCAGCTATCGTGGAGTGCCGTGGTAGAGGTTGTCCCCGATCCTCGAGACCAGAACTTCCGGACCGATCCCCAGGTGTGGTAAAAAGCAAGTGGAGTGAAGTCCTGATTGAGAGATAGACCACTATCGAGACGTAGCGTTGTGATGTGGAAAGGGAAGAGTTGACTATGGGTATTTATGGTCTCTTCCCTTACCTGTTTTCTTTGAATGGAAGAATAGGAGGCCTTGTCGATCTCGCAGCCGAGATGCCAGGCTCGCGTCCCCATCGTACGCGATGTTGCGTCCGGAGCAAGCTGTCAAAGTCATTGACGGCGGTGGCAGACCGGTATCCCGACGATAAGATGGGAGAATGGCTCAGCTGCAGGAACTTCTTTAATATCCTCCCGTATGAATGGCTTATAATTCTCTTTCCCGGATGCTCGGCATGCGTTGGGCAGGATCATTGCGCCATATTGTTCAAGTGAACTTCGGCTGGAAGCCCTCAAAGAACAACTAGAGAGCCCCGAGGATATGGGAGCCTAACAATCGAGGGGCCCTCGGGTGATGCCCGTTGGCAGGATACACTTGGGGGAATCACTGGCGTTGGGGCAAAGAAAGTGCCAGGGGTATTTGGGATGGCATGTAGAGGAAACAGAGCATGGTGGAAAGGCGTTTATCTATCCAACAACTATTGACGATTTCATGCAGAAGATGCCATATAACGCCATCTCGCGAAAGACTGGTTGGGTGTTTATCGAGAAGTTGGACGTCTATCAGTGGCGTTCTAGGGTCGCATTCCTTTCTCTGCGATGTCAACGACGAAGGCTCCGCCAAGGAGAATGGCTGGTTCATCGATATTGTGGTGCTCATAGCTAGAACCGAGGAAGGAAGAAAGTGTAAGTCACTTGGGTTTACAGCAATTGAGCGATTCAGTGCCTTCTCGAAAGGGGGAAGATAGGGGCGTAACCGCGAGGGCCGAGGCAGTGTGACGGTGCAGGGAAGAGCACAATGCCCGTGAGCTTCTTACCTCAAAGTTCCCACACCACCGGCTTCCAGCAAAAATGCTGGGCCATCCTGCAGCGTCTTCCCGGCCCAACGCATCGCAAAGGCACGCAGGATGTGTCCGTGTGCAACGATCAAGACGTCACCTGATACTTTGTGAGGCTGCTGGCCCTCGGCCGGCTTGAGCACGGGCTCGTGGAATCTGCTGCGAATGTCGGCGATAAGGCGATCGAGGCGGTCGGTGACGTCTTGAGGGCTCCTGTAGTACATCAGAATGCGGGTTCAGCTGCATATCGGATGACTCTGAGACAGAGCCGGCCCTTAGCGGTGGCATCTAGAGGGAGAGTTTGTGCAGTTGCATGCGCTACCTATCCTCGCAAAAGTCGTCTGTTCAAAGCAGGGAGAAGAAGTTGGGGTGTAACTTACTCCCCCCCCGGACAGCCGTCCTTCCAGATGTCCCAAGGTTCTTCAATACCTTGCTCGGCTCTCATCTTGCGTATCTCCGGGCTTGTGACACCCTCGTAGTCGCCGTAATCCCACTCCCTGATGTCTTCAGTCACTTCGACTTTGGCATTGCACTCAAGGCCGCCGCCAACAGAGGTGCCGTGCGGATGCCATGGCAGCGGACCGGAGATACCAAGGTTGAGCAACTCGAAGGTGCGCTGTGCTCGTTTACGGGGAGAGACGTAACTGACTCGGGGCGATTACCCAAATTGATTAGTCTTTGTTTGCTGCTACTACCGACATTGCATGGCAGTTCTCCTTGTATGTCTCTTTGGTTACAGTCTTGGGAGGCTGATGCCGTTGGTAGGGGTCTCATCAGGAACGGGAGTAACAGCGGGGACGGGCAATTGTTACATTGCACGAATGAACCGAAGACGCAATGGCCCCTGTCCAGGGGCTAGGTGTGCAGCATGAGGGAACGCGTTGCGAGAGACTCTGACGAGGCAACCATACTGTTACGCCAGCTGCGTCGGTGCAGTGATCGTATCTGTGTATAGGTGCGAAGATGAAGATCTTGCCGCTCCCCGCAGAGAGACTGAAAAGGGGGAAGAGATGGGAGAGATTGGGTTTGAGCCATGTAAGATAAGTAGAGTGTGAGGGGGAGACAGGAGAAGAGAAGAGAGCCCCGAGAATGCACAGACGACATCGGCATGGTGAGTAAACAGCACACAAACAGAAAGCTGACGTGTTGCAGGTACAGAGCCTCTCGCACTGCTTGGAGGAACAGGGCAACGGTATTGAGGAAGAAGAAAGAGCAGTCTGTCGACCCTAGGCCGCATCTTTCACTTAGAGTGGCAGCGAATAACTGGCACAGGCAAAGTGTGACTAGTGGAAGGAGGATGAAGAGGATCTGACCCATCTCACATCCATATTTTGGGAAGGACTTTGCACGCGACAGAAGGAAGACATATCAAAAGAACGCCGTAGGCAGATGCTTCAAGATCGGATGAAGGCGGAATGACAATGAGGGACTTACACATGGCATAGTTGTCGGGGAACAATCAAACGGTCGTCGCCCACGAGAGCCTTGCCTGTGGCAATGACTCGCTTCTCACCATTGGCCGTCAATGGGATATCGGTGCGGCCCGTGTGTCGGCCGTTGAGTGACCACTCGGTCTCGCCGTGGCGGACGATGAAGACGCGGGGAGCCGCCATGATGGTCGCCGAGCAGGCAAAGCGAGCTGTTTTTGGGTAACGAGCGACTCGTGGGCGCCGTAGAGCGAAAGGAAGAGAAACGGGAGGGCTGGGACCTGGCGAAGCTGGCAAGGGGCCCAGGAAGCGATCCAAGTGGAAGATGGCGCTCAGTCGACTCTGAATATTGGGCAAAGCCTTGGCTTGGTATTCGAATACGCGACCTGGACTTGTCTAACGGCAGTGAGGTGCCATCGACAGCAGGTTAGCGGGTTGCCGGAGGGGTTCCGTTTAGCGGGTTTCGGTGATGTCAGGAAGCTCATGGAAGCATGGGGGGGCGAGCTGCGTTTGCGTTAGCACCGATAGCACGACGAGCTTTGCTCTATCCGGCTACTGTTCCGACTACACACCTATCGAGCCATCAAATCTACTCATCAGGAGCAGGTTTCACTTCCTGTATCGTGGTTGCGGATCGCGAGACGCGGAGGATAAAAGGAGCTGAGAGAGTCCGGATGTCGGGCGAGGAGAAGAGGAGGAAAAGGGCAGGACTTGGATCCTGTCCATGTGCCAATAGCATAAAGGCGGGCAACGTACAAGCAACGGCAGAATCCGAGTGGAAGGAGCACCTGCCGTGAATATCGAACTGTGACTCCCTTCTGTGTAAGAGCACGCCTGAGCCTCATGTGGCTGGGCAGAACCAGCCACCATCCAGCATGCCGACTACCTATTGTCTCTTGTCTTCGCTGCCGTAAACTTCAACCCTCCCGGAAAACTTTCCCTTAAGCCTCTATTCATCTTGTGCATCCCAGAGCTACGTCAATACTCCTTGACTGGCCGCTTTTTTCTTTTTTTTTTCTTTGTTGTCAACCTTCTTCGTTTCCCCGTCAAGTCTCGAAAGTGATCTCGATGACACCATGCTTCAGCGCTCAGCCTCGCCATCCTCGGCTCTGCCCCGCTTCTTACTAAGTCTCTCAGCCTCCTCCAGTCCATCACAACAGCAGCTTCGCGGTCCCGCCAACAATGCCGACGCATGCTGGCGCCTTGAATCCGCATCGCCGCCCGACTCTGCCTGCCAGAGCGCTAGCCAAGACATTGAGCTGGTGGTAATCAATACCTGGGACCATCCTTCGGCTGCATCTCCTCGTGTCTCCAAGCATAAGCGGGCGTCCGTATCTCTGCCCGCGTTATCGCCGTCCGCCCCGCCGGAGGCGAGAAAATCTGCAGGCAAGGCCTTCGGACTGACAAGCCGCGGCAGCTCGGCCAGCCTGGACACTTTGGCAGATTTGACTGCTAGTCCGCTGGGCAGGGGAATGACCCAAACGGAGCGCCAGAAGAAAGCGAACCAAGTCTGGAGAGGCTACTGGTGATATCGTGAAGATTTCTGGCGACAAACGGCGCCACTTCTACAACATTTAGGTCTTGGGGACAAACCACAACTTGGGGACACAGAGAGCAAAAGATCAAGATGGCATCTCCCAGTTCTTTGACCAAGCAGCAGAAATTCAAGGGCGGCGTCTGGGCCGTAGCCTTTGCCGCTGTGATCATGGTTGGAACCCTGACGGGAGCACAGCTCAAATCGGACAAGCAGAAAGAGCAGGTCAGTAGAGTCTCTAGCCGCGCTCTTTGCCATCTTCTCCCCTGCTCAACTGAGCATTCCGTTTTGCCTCTCTCCGCAAACCCCTCACACGAGATTATACACAACCTAACTAGCCCTTTGCAGGCCATTCAGGAGTTCCGTCAGGTTACCCCTTCAGAGCAGATTGCCATGCTCCAGAAGCAGCGAGCCATCCTTGTCGACCAAAGGACAGCTCTTCAGAAGAAACTGGACGTGTTCAAGGAGCGCGTCCGGGAAAGGCATCAAGCGCAGGAAACCTCCAAGAAACCTTAGGGCGCTTGGTTTCCCTCCGTTGATCATGCAGAATGCAAGAGAGTAGGGAAGATTTGCCCTCCTACGAAAGGTTATTGATTGGGACGAAAGCAAGGAGAAAGGCCGGTCGTCTCTTCTCAATTACGGCGGTACTGTTGAACCACTTCAAAGTTGCAATGTCACTCGCGCAGCCTTGGTTGATGGAACTTATACTCGAATACGGGCTGTTTCTGGAAAGCAAAAATCAAGATACCCCATATAGAAATGCATTCAGAAATTGATTACAACGCCCATTTCCCTTTCCCTCTGCAGTTGAACCGTCTGTCTTGAGTCGTTGAGCATTCTGTTCTATACATTATAGCATGCCATTTATAGGTACCTCGCAGGTGTCAGACCAAAGGCAACAGGTTCAAGGCTGGGAGTGACGTGCCCATCCTACCGCCCAATATCTTGATGTTCAAACGCCCAATTCCGAAACTTCCTAGTGCTATCGACGTCCTAACCCTAGTCCTCGATGCCTTCGGAGCTTGGCAGAGGAATCGCTTTGTAGAGGAGAATCAAGGCCGAGTGGGACTCGCCGCCGCCAGCCAAGGCCTCGACCTTGTCAACGGTCACCTCGGTCACCTTGTCGTCATTGAACCACCACCAGTTGCCGTCTTCCTTTTCCTTCTTGCCCGTTTTGGGATCCACAGATGCCGTCTTCTTGACATATGCCGTGTAATGACCGCTGTCCGCGCTAGCGCCCTGATGGGTGACGACGCCGCGGAGCTCATAGAGACCTGACTGGTTCGCACCATCGTCGTCACGCAGAGCCGGATCTATCAGAGCGTTGAGCTCCTTCTTGGCGGACAAAAGAGCGGCTTCGCTCTCCGCCTCCACCTGAGCATCTGTCTTGTATGTCTCGCCCATGACGGTATCGCCGTCACCCGTCGGCTGCGACTTGCTATCCTCGCCTTGCTTCTCCTTCTTCTCCTTCTCCTTCAGTTCCTTCTGCTTCAGCTCCTTTTCCGACGGCAGGCCAGAGCCACCGGGAACATCACTCATGTCCTTGTCGTGCGTCTTCTTCCGGCGCTTACGGGCACGCTCAATGTCCTCTTCATCCTTGCGAACCTCACGAACCTTGTCGCGGACGGGTATCAGGGCCGACTTGAGCTCGTCTGAGCAAAACTCGACAATGTCCAGCTCTTGAGGAAACGTGACCTTGCGCATGATCTTGGCCTTCTTCTTGGTTTCCTTTTTCCAGAAGAATCGTACGAAGTGGACGGTAAGGTACTTGGGGGCTCGGGATATCTTGGACGTCTTGGTGTAAGTGGCGTCACGGCCCAGCACCTCCGACCTCTTCTCCAGCTTCTCGCTGAGGGCAGCCAGAATGCCATCCCTCAGGTGGTTTGTCTGACTGTCAATATGGCAGTCAAGTTTGTAAAAGGTATCCTTCGAGATGACGGGTTGTTCGCCACCGTTCCGCGCTTCCTCCTCATCGCACTCAAGGACGGAAGTGAATTGTCCTGCCATGTACTTGTCGACGAAAGAAACACCAGGCTCATCGGGGGACGACTTGATCGTGACCTTCTGGCCCAGTTGCTGAACAATCTGAGACCATGCCTCCTCAGCATCCTGCTGGGCATATCCAGAGCCGCTCTTGGACTTTTCGGCAAATTGTGGGAACACGAGCCTCAGCGCGGAGAGGAAGCTCATGGGGGGAATGGAGTCTTGCGTAGCACTCATGGTCTTGTAAAGGGCGGAGAGCTGGGCGGCCAAGTCGGCCCGCGCCGTGCCCGCCACCGGGTTGTATGTGCTCAACGCGGTTTGGAGCTCGGGGATGGAACGAAGCGTCTGCAGTGTCGAGTTCAAGTAGCATGTGTTTCCGAGATTGACGAGGCCGGCGGGAATGGCGCCGACCTGCTGAGCTTGCTCTGCCTCGGTCATGTCCTCGACGAACTTGATCTTCTCCGACGGACGAACAAGATCGCCAGCGCTCCCTCCTGGGGTGCCCATCATCATGATGTTCTGGCCGGCCTTGAGGCCCAGCTTGCCCATATTGATGTCATCCTTGAGCTGGCCACCCTTGATGAGGATCTTTTGGCGTTCGGGTTCCACGTTGGTAAGGCTGAAGAGCTGGAGCTTGAAGTCTAGGCCTGTGGACTCGGGATCGACCTCTACTTCGTATTTTTTGCCCTGGTGCTTCACGACAACTAGAGTACCATAACTCGCGTCAGTAGAGGGCAGACACACTCGTAGCATTCGAATAAAAAAGGAGAAAAGAAAGAAGAAAATTCGCAAGCAACAAAACACCAGAATTATGGTGGTGGTGGTGGTGGTGGTGGTGGGGGTTCACAGACCAGAGACGGAAGCCATTGTTGCAAGGTTCGCCTGAGCAGCTGCGGGACGCCAAAAGGAAGGGCCCTTTTCTTAAGCAAAGCGCAAAGCTTGGTGATGTATGAGCGCCGTGGTTTTCTGATGTTTCTTCAGTAACGGAAGGAAATCAAGGATCCAAGGCTGAGATGCCAGACACGGATAGATGGTAGGAGTAGGAGAAGGGAAGAGAAGCATTGCGGAGCCTCGCTGGCGTCACGGCGGTGGTACCTGATGGCGGGCAGGTGTGGCGCATGCGGGTGGCGGTTCCTGGCGACGGGGACCGCTTCGGGGTCTTGAGATGCATTACGTAACCAAGCACGTGAGGTCCGTTGTCGCGACTTGTGGCGCAAGCTCTCAGGTCGCTTACCTCATGCTAGGTAGCCGGCGTTCAGTGCTGTTATCAAGGAACAGTCAGGCCAAGCAGCGCCTGTAGGTTAGAGCTTGCCCCACCTTTACGCCTGGCTACAGACGTCAACCTCCTGTTAGTGACATGCGGACCCGAACCCCGCGGATTTCCCCTACCAGTCCACGTAACGAAAGTAATACTGCACCACTGCTACCTACCTTGCTTCGTACCGTCCCGAAACCTCGAATCCCCAAGCTTCCGGGCTCCGACACGGATTGCGAATAGCTTCCTGCGAAACATTGGCCCAGCCCAGGGCACGCAGCAGCATCAGCAGCCATGGTACATTCGGCACCTCCCCCCCTAAAGCCGCTGCCTTCGACCCCGAGACCCTTCCGCAGCCCATCCCCTGAAGCTGCCGACTTTGACCGCTGCTGACCGTGCTGTGCCCTCCAGTCTCAATCATTGCGGCCGTACCTCCAATGCGTGCGAAGCAGTCTGACTGCCGCCCTGACCCTGTCCAACTTTGCCTCCCAGACGACCGAGCGGCACAACGTGCCGGAGATCGAAGCTCAGACGTCCCCCGAGGTCGTTCTGACGCCCCTCGTCATCGCGCGCAACGAGAACGAGCGGGTGCTGATCGAGCCCAGCATCAACTCAGTCCGCATCAGCATCAAGATCAAGCAAGCTGACGAGATCGAGTCCATCCTGGTGCACAAGTTTGCCCGTTTCCTGACCCAGAGAGCCGAGGCCTTCTTCATCCTGCGAAGAAAACCGATTCCCGTACGTGGTTCCAGTACATCCGGGCTTCCCACGGCCGGAGGCGGGCGTGGGCTCGGCTTTGACGACTTGAATCCTGCTCTAACGCGCTGATTGGAAATAGGGCTATGATATTTCTTTCTTGATAACAAACTTCCACACGGAGGAGATGCTGAAGCATAAGCTGGTCGACTTTATCATTGAGTTCCAGGAGGAGGTCGACAAGGAGATTTCCGAGATGAAGCTCTTCGTACGTGACCCCCTTGTTTTGACAACAATTTCTCCCGCTTGCCAGTCTCGAACTTTCTGTATATACTGACTTTGGTCTCTTTCTGTTTGCAGCTCAATGCCCGAGCACGATTCGTCGCCGAGTCATTCCTGACACCTGTGAGTGCACCTCTTTATCGTCCAGTTCCCCCTTTTCTTTGCAGGGACTAACACTTTGCAGTTCGATTAGATTTATTGAACACTTTTGCGTTACTGAGGGTGGAATGTTCAGTGATAGGATCAGAGCGAACCCAAGTACTCATAATCTCGAGTCGGACGTCTCTCAATGATGTTTCACTTGAGATTTTGACATTTCAAAAACATGCCAATTCTTCTGCATGTAGCGATAAGGGTGATGAGGAGAGTGTGACAGTCAACATAAACAAAGTATTAACCTGCTCTTTATCGACAATATTACTTCGCCGAAATTTCCTTGGTCCAGATGCCTCATTGTTCCCTCCCTGATCATTCGGATCCGATGGTGTAGCCCGCTCCATAAGCCCTCGACTCTTGAACTCGTAATCGCAGCATAATCGATTAAGTTAATTTCACGAATGCTTGCAGCTGACCTGACACGATACTCGGACAAATTTGTTGCAGCTATAGATTCGTCGACAGTAGGCAATGATCGCCAGCAGCATCGCCGGGCCATCGAAAGCCCAAAATCACGATGCTGAGAGCTCAGCATATCTTCAGTCCCATGGCGTCCAACAATGAGGGATTACACCTGGAACCGGCCTCATACCTAATGACTCCGCTGGGTTAATCTGCAACTCCTCGTTTATGCCAGCTGCCTCGGGCCGGCTTCTTCGCCGCTTGGAGCGTCTTGAGGCCTGACAAGCCTGCTGCCAGTCCGGCAATGCTTGGCCTGCCAGCTCCAGCTTCAACACATGGCTGGCAATGCGCACAGGAACAACTGCCCACCAGCTCCTGTTGCTGAGGCTACCCCACTCAGGTATTGTTCAGAGATGAATGAATAACCACAAATTTCCCAGCCGCCCCTCACTACTCTCACCCTTCTCTTCTCTTCCTCCTCGCACTCTTCTCCTCCCTTCTCCCCCTCCTCTCATTCTTCTCTTCTACCTTCTTCTTTCTCTCACTCTTCTGATTTGCTCAAAACCACCTTTGGGTTTCTGAAGAAGCTCATCAAGCACTTTTCACATCGAAGCCCTCGTGCGACTGGAAAAAGGTATGCTATGCCCTGCTTCTGTGACCTGATGTGTCGTAGTATGGCAACGCGGATTACTGCTCCTTGCCTTCTGAGAAGCGCAGAGCGGATTTTGTCCTTGTTGGGGTTGTTTGCTCTCGTGGCCTTGTTTGTTAACAAGTTCGCGATTGTACCCCCGTGCCATCACAGACTGCCTTTGCGCCTCGTTTCTGTAGCTTTCTGCCCAAAACCCTGCAGTGCTCTGCAAAAGATGTTTCCACTCAGTCATCCGCCTTGACTCTCTGGCGCCTCGCTAATCCTCTGATAGATCAACGTGGCCGAGATGGCTTCAAACCGCCCGAGAGATGTTCGCGGCATGAGCTTCGGCGAAGCGCCCTTCATCGAGCCCATGTTGGAAACGACGCACACGGCGGTTGCGGGTGGAGAGGCACTTCAAGTGGTCTCGGACGCCTCTACTGGCCGCAACTCGTCGAGCAGCACCCAAAATGCAAGCTGCGGAGACAACATTGAGCCAAACCATCAATATGTCGTTCACCACAGCTCGTTCAACCCATCGGCTCGTAGTTGGGTCCCTCCCTCAATGAAGCAGGTGAGTGATGTGCTGCGCTCCTCTTTCTCTAAAGCCGCCAGACGTTTATCCTTCCCACCCCTTGTTTGTCCCCGTTGATTTTGTCCGATCATTCTTCTTCGTTTGATGTAGGCTTGCTAACATACAAGTTAGCTGAATGGACGAGATGATAACACTGCTCCCCTTGTGGTTGGATACCCGCCCAACTACCGCGTTGCGAACTCGCATCAGAATCACAATCAGGATCAGGTCCAGAGCTACACTCAAAGCCAAATTGAAATGCCGGCTGAGACTCAGCACCCCAATCAGTTCGACCTTGTCTCCTTCGCCTTGGCTCACACTCGAGGCCATAGCCAAGACGTACGTGCGGGCATGCCTTAGGAAGGCGCCCCAAACAACGGCGGCCTCGGCGAAGCTCAGCAGTCGGTGCAATATCACTACGACGGCTTCGAGCCTGCAGCGGCTCCTGGTCCAGATATTCAATATCAGGCTTCCTTCCAAGCCCAGACTCCGCCCGATCGCTCGACTGCTGGACTTCACCAGCAGGCAGAGAGTGGTTCTCGCACCAGTCTCCAGAGATTGGCCGACCCCAATCCTGAGCAGCAAGGTCGTTCATCTTTGATCCCACATAGCCAGTCTCTCAACTCTCTCCGCCCCGGCGAAGAAGAACTTTCTAGCCCTTCCGACGTCACTCCGCCTCATCGTCGCTCTGGTGCTCCCGTCCGTGGGTATTTCAGCCCGGGGGTCACGACAGTCGCCAGCGAGCCGCGAAACTACGCTCCGCGAACTGCTGGTCTGCCCGCCTCGATGAACCCCATCATGATGCAGCCGCCTCCGAGATTTGACCTTGGGCTTGCGGCGACTCCCAACCATGAGATTGATCGCGAAGCCTGTATTGTGAGGCAGATTGTCCGGCCCTTTGGTGTGCGCCTCAATGAGACGACTGAGCTTTCTGAGATCCCGCTGGACTTCACCGTCAACGCTCCAGTAATGCCGGCGCCACGCTCCAACAAGCTTCTGCAGCTCACCAGCACCGTTACTGGGCTTCCAACTTTGGCCGACGCGATGGATCCGTCCAACTTTCCTTTCGTCGAAGCGGCCAGACTGGCGAAGCCCATGAATTGGGGCATTATCAAGCTGAAAAACGTACGTTGGCCTCCCTTGCTTTTCCGGAGTTCCCAGAGCCTCGCCACGCATCTAGTCCGCTAACACAACAATTCAGATTCCATTCTCGACTACCCGTGCCGAGGTGATTGCCTTCCTCGGCCGCAACTCCAAGGTGTTGAACGACACTGACGAAGGCGTGCACATCATCATGGACAAAGTGACAAGCAAGACCATGGATGCCTATGTCGAGTTTGTGTCGCTCGAAGATGCCATGAGAGCGGTCGAGAGGCACCGAAGCAATGTCGTCGCCGGCAGGTTCAGCCGCCTGGGTGACCGTCCCATCGAGGTAGAGGTGACTTCTCAAGCCAGCCTCATGAAAGATCTCTTCCCCATCGCTCGCGGCGTCTTTTGGAATGGTGTCACGCCCGAAATCTTGCCGTTCAATCCCACACAGCCCTGGGACAACTTCAAGGGTTTCGTCTCCGAGGAGGAGATGATTATGCTTGTCAAACATGTCGAGGTGCCTCATCGAGTACGTGGCCATGGTTTTGTGCTGCCCCCAACAATGTTCTTCCCTACCCCCCACCACTTGCTCTTCTCTTTCCATGGCGTATCTTGAAAGAACCGTCTTCACGACAAATCTCTTGCTGACAATTGTCTAAATCAAGTCTCCCTTCTCCCGAGACTGCCCGCAGCGCCCATATGAATGCTTGATCAGCACCATCAAGAAGTTTCCGTGGTTTCTTACCAACTGTGTGACGATCAAGGAGCGAGAGGCAATGTACCAGGCTACCACTGCGCTTATTCGCCAGCTCACTCGCAGCATTCTTCTCCAGGAAGACTCCGCGCACTTGACTCCTTTCCTGCTCCGGCGCCTTGTCCAGGCAGCCATGCTCTGTCCTGGCTTCACGCCGTGTATGAAGGATGGCATCGCTTGGATCACCAACATGCAGGAGCTTGATCAGGAGTACTATCAGCTGCCACGTTTTGCCAACCGTTGGCGCCACCAGTATGCTATCGGCCCAAAGCCTGGTTTCCCCCAGGACGTTGTCGAGGTAAGTTCTGACATGTCTTTGGCGGACGTTGACCTTGAGTCAGTTTTTCTGCAGCAAGACTAACAAATGTGTGCGTCTCTTTTCGTAGTGGTATGTGTCGATTATCCGTGAGCAATCTCAAAAGGATGTTCTCGCCCTGCCGTTTCGAGAGCGCGCCGAACTTCAGGAGCTTGCCGATCAGACTGATATGTACTGGGGCTACTTCTGGGCTGAGGTTGGCTACGGGCTTGGCCCTCAATTCGACGACATGAACCTGGCACAGGCCGCTCACATGGAGTTCTCGGCCGTGGAGCGCATCCTCTCGCGTGCCCTTACCCAAGGCTAACGCCGCGTGATTCTGCCGACGAACCAAGAAATCTCCATGGGCCAGCATCCGGCGTTTGATTCTGTTGCGTGGGTGGAAGCAGATTGGGGCAAGCGCATCATCGTGCTCAAGATTGGCGGCATTTCTCTCCTCTTCTCTTCGGTACCCAGCACTGTTGTTATCTGGCTGATTTCGTTCGTCATCGTTGGGCCTCGAATCAGGCAAGGGAGCCTCTGCCGCGGTGCAAACTGGGTGAGCAGAAGTGCACATAAGACGGATACGGGGCACATAGTCCTGGTTCCTTCTTATTTCTTTCTCTTCTTCTTTTTCTTTGCTTTTCATTGTTTTGTTCATGCCCGCAGTGAATGGCCTGATGGCGAGATGATTGATTCATTGGTGGCCCGGAGTCGAAATCATGCATTTGCTTGCTAGTGGCTGAGGAGTTCCGTTGTCGGCTGGTTGACGAACGTGGTGAATGACGTCGAGGAGATGCAAACACGGACGATGATTGCTTTCATCTCGAGTCGGAGGCTGCGAAGCTGGGCTGCCGTCAGGTGAAATGGGAACACAGGGATCAGGTACTTAGTCCATAAGACACATAGGAATGAAAAATGACATTGGGTGAGCCAAGCGCCATGCGGACCAAAGAGCAGCGGACAAGTTGGTCCGTGGAAGCGAAGAACATGACGATCGGTGATCAAGGTGAGGGACGAGGGAGTCAAAGCTGGTGACCAAAGCTCGAGATTGGCTCATTTATTAAACGACATCCGTCACCGGAACTATTACCGAGCTGCTACTCCTAGGAGGTAGGTAGTACCTGGGGACAACGGCAGGCGCAGAGGTCTAGGTTGCCGAAATATCCCAAAATAAGTAGTAGGTACACAAATTTGGCAACAAGTCAAGCTCCCCTCCTGCTCGATCTACGCGTGGCATGATGTCGTAGCCGATATTGAAGCAGCTCCTTCCTCGCGTTGGCGCAGGCAAGGCAGGGCAACTTGCGTTCAGCAGCGGAACACGACCTCGGCTTCGGGGTACGTTTATCCGCTAAAGGGCCGTCAGGGTTCCAGCGGGTTCAAGTCCATTCAATGCATGGCGGCCATATGGCGCATGAGGACGAAAATGGACAGAGACCAATCATTTCATCGAGCACGGCAGCAAGGGCTTGCAATGGAACCTGTCAGGTACCCGGATGTCTTCACTGGCGCTACCTCACCGTGAGGGTCCGAGGTAATGTAAGGTACTTTTACCTCAGCTACCTACCTAGGTAGTACTACCCACCTACTTTAATCTTGGATGGTCTCTCTCAGGCAATTCGCTCATGAGCAGACAACCTTGAAGCTTGGAGACCTGTCCGGTTTGCGTTAGTGCGGCTGGAGCGATGGACGGGTTTCCATACCGGTGGGAAATCTCGAAGCTTGTCCCGCGCAGCCAGCACGAGGAAGCATCTGGAAGATCTCGTTCGTACCTCTACTCGGGATACGAAGAGCTTCGTCCAGCAACCCCGATGGGGCGCCTTTCTTGTGCAAACAATGATACCTAGGTAGTACTAGTACAAAGAATAGGTCCTACGTTGTATTAGAATGTAAGGTAAGATACCTACATGCAAGCACAAGGCGCGCGTGGCTTCGACGAAATTGCCATCTGGGATCACGTCCAAAAATAAACTTGCTGTAAATCACTACTGATTGGTCCGACCGTGGCACGAAGAATACACCATTTCCAGAGCGAAGCGCCTCCTTTATGCCTCAAAACCCCCCTCGTCTCCCGTCATGAGATCAGGTGCCGAACTGACGCACTGTCTGGTAATTTCCAGTGCCTTTGATCCTTCTTTTTAGCCCCCTTTGACTGGCCTGCCTTGAGCTCCGTCTGATACTGCTGTCTGTCTACATGTACCAAGACGTTGCCGGCTGCTTAAGGTATCGTCTCATACTCGTAACAGCTCGGAATTTTTGCAAATCCGTCCATCCTGCACCACTCCGTTGCTCCTGTCAACCTACCTCTACCTAGGTACTGTACCTACCTACTACTAATAACTTGAGCGACCTTCAAGGTTATTACCAAATCGTCGACAGCAGCCATAGCTGGGACCCCAGCGAGCTTCCATACGGTCTTCTTTTTTTTCTTTTCCACTCGTGCATTGTTCTGCGGTTTTCCCCCATCGCGAAAACAACTTCCCCTTTCTCACTCGTCAATTCAAGAATCTCTCCATTTCTGCCTCACCTTTGGCAGCCCACCAGCAAATCTTTTTTTTTTTCTCGATCGACTCACTCGCCGTCATGCCTGAAGAGAACGCGACTCCCGTCGTCCCCGAGAAGGCTGAGGCACCAGCCTCGGCGCCAGACACGCCACTGGCCAAACTCACGGCGCGTCTTGCAGACATCATCCAGCAGTCGGGCCACAGCGAGATGTGGGGGGTTGAGCTGTCGAGCGATGCCAGCCATGCCCCGACCCAGGTCATTCTCCAGAAGTTCCTGCGAGCCAACAACGGCGATCTGGCCGGTGCCGAGAAGCAGCTTGCTGCTGCGCTGGCGTGGCGGCAGAAGTGGCAGCCAACCAAGCTCGTCAGCCAGGCTTTCAGCAAGGACAAGTTTGGCGGACTCGGGTTCGTGACGAACCACAAGGACGATGCCGGCAACAACACCGTCATTACCTGGAACATTTACGGATCTGTCAAGGACAACAAGGCTACCTTTGGCGATGTCACCGAGTAAGTCTTTCCTGTCGCAGAACTTGATACACGTTGTCGAAGCATGGGCCTCCTCTAACCCGGCTCAACGCCTGTAGGTTCATCAAGTGGCGTACTGCTCTCATGGAGCTGGGCGTGCAGCAACTTCATCTCAACGACATCAAGGAGCCTCTCCCAGAGGACGGCACTGACAAGCATCAGATGCTGCAGGTGCATGACTACCGATCAGTCAGCTTCTTCCGCATGGACCCCGCTGTCAAGGCCGCCAGCAAGGAGACCATCTCTGTCTTTTCGACGGCCTATCCAGAGCTGCTCGCGCACAAGTACTTTGTCAACGTGCCTGCCATCATGGGCTGGATGTTTGGTGCCATGAAGCTCTTCCTTGCGCCGGCTACCCTGAAGAAGTTCCACCCCATGGCATCCGGCGCCTCCCTGGCTACGGAACTCAAGAGCATCGCCTCTTCCCTGCCCCAAGAGTATGGAGGCAGCGGCGCTCCCGTCCAGCAGGGACTGACAGTCACGCTCGTCGATGCCTCCGAGACATCAACCGGGGAGACGCCGGCACAGGCACAGCGCGAGCCTGAGGCCGCTCCCGCCGCCGCTCCTGCTTCCGCCCCTGTCCCTGACGAAACAGATGAAACTGCGGCTGCCGCCGCACCTCAGACTGCGGTGCTTCCCGTGAGGCAGAAAGAGGAGGAGACTTCGGCAGAGACCAAGAAAGACGATGCTCCTGCTGCCGCTGAACCAGAAGACAAGGCTGTGGAAGGAAAGGTCTCGGACGAAAAGGCGGCAGAAACGACGTCGGCAGAGGGGGAGACCAAGCCGAAAGCAGAGACTGAGGAGACTCCCGCTACTGCAGAGATTGCCTCGAAGGAGTCTGAGAGTGCGCCCAAGAAGACAGAGACCGCAGAGACCGCAGAGTCGGCAAAGACGGCTTAGGGAGGCTCTCGGTCCTGTTCCTCGTCGGACCGCGAATCTGATCCATCGTGAAGCCCTGAGAGGCTGCAGCTCTCCGTTTTATCTTTGTTTGTTTTGCTGCTATTGTTGTGTTTTTTCTATTTCATGTCAGACTCTTGTTGGCCTTTGATGCTTTCTTGAGAGAGCGCAGCCGGCCGTCGATTTGCCTGCCACGCTCCACTCATACCCATAATACCCTATATCATGCCCGAGAAGTTGTGTGCATTAGATTCCCCTCTAGATGTTTGCTTTTTTTTATATCTATATATATATATATATATGAGATAAAAGATGGATAGTCTCCTCTTATAATACAAGTGACGCATTTTACTGGACTCACGCAAGCTGTTTACTCTACTTCGCTGTTGACAATTTACCTCATACTCGAGGTAATGATCATGCGGAGGAGGCTTTGTCTACCACAAGTTGTAGGCTTCCCTTGTCCTGCCGCCATCGCCTCCTCCGTTGCAACTCCAGGGTGCGCATCACTCAGCCGCCTTCTCCGCATATGGCGATTGACGAGGCTAGTTTCACCACCTTCGTCATCGAGAAGCTTGGCTTCCTCCAGCATCTTTCTCATGCATAGCACCCCTGTCGGCCAGGTAAGTCCGAGATAAAGTACCTGAATGGAGGTTTGAGTTTTCAAGTTCGAGTGAACTTGGAGTCGGCGATACTCTACATAATTTATGTGCCTTAGTAGAGACCATGAGGCAAGGATGAGGTAGGTAAGGCAAGGTAGGTCATGCTTCCTCAGTGATATACCTAGACCATAGGCATGGAGTCTTTCTCACCGCAATGCCTCATTTGTCTCGCCACAGATGGGGGCCATAGAAGCAAGAGACACTGGCAAATCCGCAAACAAGCCTCGGTAACGTCAGGACTACTTCGAAATGTTAAGAGTGACATAAGCTCCCAGTTAATCACTCCATCACCTTGGGTACTGAGCTGAATATCGCAAGTAAGCCGAATAAGGTATCGAGGTAATAGCAATGGTACCAACCATACTCCAGCTACCTTGACAGAGAGTCAATATGAGAAATGTTCACGATAGCCCAGACTGAAATCATGAAAAGCACACGAAGAACATGTGAGGCGAGATGCAAACATGCACGTCCATGTACAGAGAAATTGTCGTCGGTGTTGGTGGCTCTGCCGTTGAGCAGTGGTGCAAAGCGACGGACTCCTCGGGCAGGAGAGGAGAAAACGGCTTCCGGCGAATATAGTGATGGGCAAGAGAGGGTGCGAATATTGGCATGGTTAGAGCAGGCTGGCCGGGGACTGTCTTCCGGTTGCGCAGTGATTGGCGGCATGGAGAGGCTGAAGGCGAGATGAAGCAGGGTACAACTTGCAGGCATCATCATCAGACACTCCGCTCCAGCACCGGGAGCTTGCGCCTATAGTTGAGGCCTATGACACAAAATCAAAGCTGAACGTTTATTCTGTCCATCTCTTTGACTCCTACTAGGATTGACGAGGCAACCTGACATATAGCAGCACTGACATGTAGGCCGTATACGGTACGCTGGTGGTCGCATCAGCAAAGACGCGAGGCCGTTTGGCGACTTTGGGACAAGCAGGGAGAGAAGACGTATCACGGGCTCATGACAAGTGCGGAGTAAGACAAGGCCAGGCCCGGTGCCTCTCCCGTCGATGAACAAAGGGAGGATCCCGGGGGGAGGGAAGATTGGCGACGGGGAGGCCATCCTCCTGCTCAGAGTTGCTTTTGGGCTCACAATTTCCGGCGCAATGACTTTGATTTAGCTCGGGCGCCTCAGACTCGCCTCAGCCGCTGGTCACCATTCTTTGTGCCATTCTTGCGCCTCTTTTCACCTTGACTTTTTCTCTTCTTTTCCCCCCTCTCCACCTAGGCTCGTCGGTTTCCCTTTCCCCTCTTTGCTCCGTAAACGGTGATTGTGGTTCTGGGATTCTCAACCCTCTCCTGACACAGCTTCATCAGCCGACCTGGGCGGCTCCAGATACAACTCACGCAACCAGTCGGACACGCGCACGTCTGCCTCAGTAGAGAGAAGACGCACTTCCGGACAACAGCCAACGTACCGGATTTTCCCAAGGACTAGCGGATTGACTGCGAGAGGCCGCGAGAGTCCGCGAGACCAGGCACCAAGTACGAGGGAGAAGAGGAGAACTCACGAAACGCACAAAGAGACGCAGCACGTCGGGCAACAAAAGCCACACACACACCAGAACAAAATTAAAACCAACCCAAAAAGACGCTCACCGGCTCACTTTATTCGCCTTGACAGCCTCGAGTCGGCCTTCTTCTTCTCACTTAGCGCCACCCTCGTCTCTACCGGGTCTGATCCTCCTCCGCCTTTTGCCCCCCTTCTCACTGCTCGCCCGTATTACGCTCGACTTGCTCCCGGATCGCCTCTTGTCTCAGTGCCTGTCGACCCTCAGTTGTGGCTCCCCGTCACCACCACCCCTGGACGTTCAAGCCCGGCAAAAACAAGACCTTGTCGTGGCTTTTTTTTGATCGAGGGTAAAAAAAAAAAAGGCGGGTTGACCATTAAGTGGCCTCGCTGCTCACCTCGCCTATCAGATCGAGGAGACTCAGTCCCTGGTCTGTCCGCGGGCGAAGAAAGGGCCTGGTCTGGTGCCATTACGGAGCACAAAAGCACGCATATCATACCGCATGCCTTAGCATCACGACATCCTGATAGTATCCCGCTCTTCTCACCACCCTGCCTACCTACCTACCTACCTACTTCTCCTACCACCTTAGCCTAAGGTACCTTTCCTTGTTACTGAGGGACAAGGTAAGGTAGTCGTTCCAACACACAACAACAACACGCAACATACACAACACACCACCACCATCCACACGCACACGCACACGCACACGCACACGTACACGCACACATAAACGCCTCTGCCTTACACGCTTGCCGCTCCCATTCACCCTCGTCCGGAGCACGCGGAGGCTACGTGCACACACACAACACCAGGTACGAGCGCACATGCCCCAGAGCAATCCCGTCCTTGCACCAACGGCGATTCTCAGTTGATATAAGGCGCGTGGTCTCTAACCCTACTTGACCTGTTGAGTTACAGACCGCATATTTTGATACCTACCTAACATCAAAGTAGTACCGGCATCGTGGTTTGACTCTGTCTGACTCGAGGCAAAGCCGACAACTAGAAAAAAAAGACACAGAGGCGCTGCTCTGCTATTTGCCGAAGCTTGTCTCTTGCTAGTAGGGGGAGCCCTCGGCCTCCATTTATCTTCTCCTTCTTACTACCTATAGGTATTTATTCCATACTTGCCCAAGACTCGTGGCCGCCCTTTTTCTGCCTTTTGCCTCCTCTTATTACCCGCCTACCAGGTACCGTCCTTTCTTGCCTTGAGGTACTACCTACTACCTAGGTACCTAAGGTTTACTATTACCTTAGTACTGCTGCTAAAGAGAAGGGGAAATCCGCCTCCAAGCTGCTTATCTGTCTCTGCTGGTTAGCTCTCACGCGTGCACCCGCGTTTTTTCGGAGCACCGTTTAGCAGCCAACCTGCGACCTCCAACTTCTCCCTTGCACCTCTCTCTCTCTCTCTCTCTCTCTATTTCTTCCCTTTTTCCCTTTTCCTCCTCAGCTCGGGCTTGGTCTAACGAGCCATTCGCGCAGGCCTGAATACGGCTATCCCTGCCATTTGGTTGGTTTCTCGGCCTCTTTCTTGTTTATTCGGCCGCTTGGTTTGCCTTGTTGCGCTGCTATTCTTGCCTACCTCATTGTTTCTTTCTTGTTTTCTCCTGGCCTTGTTGTTGTTGTTGTTTGCTTGCCTTGTCTCCCACCACTTCATGTTTGCACCCCGGCTGCCGCTATAAGACCCGCCGCGCCGAATCGCAACTCACGCACGCCTCGCATCTCGCACGTCGAAGCCATGCTGTCGTCTCTGCTGGCTGCCATCGAGAGCAGCAGCTCGGTTGAGATCGCGACGGACGACTCCTCGAACCTCGCGTCGTCGAGCTCGACGCCCCCGACGACGGTCACCGACACCGACAGCCAACACTCGGACACCTCCAAGCACGATGTCATCACCGTCATTGACGACTCGACCGTGGTCGCGATAGCTCCGGCCCTGCCCGCGGCTGACGTGCCTTCGCCTCGCCGGCCCCAGCGCGCGCGGACAAGCCTGCCCGTCTACAACCTGGCCAAGCTCAGCGGCACCAGCGCGCATGGCAAACGCCGGGCCAAGGGCGACATCGTGGCCGACCGCAGGCGCCGCACCATTGCGGGCAGCACTGTCACGCCGGGCGACGCCCCTGTTGATGCGGCGCCGCGCGACACATCGACCGCCGCCCCCAGCTCCAACCCTGACGCGTCGACGCTCCCGGCTTCTTCCAGCAGACGGAGCACGCCACGGGCGCAACGCATGGCGCGGGCATCGCCACGCTCGCTGCGGTCAACAGCGCGTGTTGCCGCTCCTAATGGCAGCGCCAGCGCCAGCGCCAGCGCGACGCCGGTATCGGCTGTTGCCGCCAAGCTCACCGTCACCTCCAAGCGCGGGCGCAAGACGGCCGGCGGCATCGGGGTCGAAAAGGAAGTCCGCTTGACACGCGAGCTGCGGCGCCTGCAGGACACAAAGGAGTACAACCACATCGACGACCGCCCCGTCATCCACAGCGTCTGGTCCAACGGCAAGTACGTCGATCCCAGCCAGGCAGCGGAGCCCCAGCCGGCGCGCAAGAAGGCGAGGGTCGAGGAGGCGGCGGAGATCAAGGTCGAGGAAGTGGCGGTAGAGCCTGTCGCCCAGCCCAAGAAGAGGAGGGTTAAAAAGTACCTCAACAAGGGCCTCTACGCGGGGCAGGACACGCCCCAGGACATCACTCGAGGGCTCACGGCGGCCGAGAAGAAACAGCTGGCGCAACTGCCCGAGCTCATGCCACGCAGGGAGAACAAGGTCATGCCCGCGCCCATATTCACGGGCTTCCGGATCTTGTTGACCGGCCGCGACTTCAAGCTGCCGTTCCACGTCTGCAACCCGCTCCCGCCTGGCCAGCCGAAGCCGGACGAGTGGAAGAAGATGACCAAGAGTATGTGCTCATGTTGTGCCATGTTGTGCCCAAGCCAGGCGCTATATTGCCTTGTCTTGGCTTGTCTTCTACAGCGAAGAGTCCTATGCTAACATGGCCGTGTCCCTTTTTTTTTTTTTCTTTAGATCGGTTCATTGGCGAGTCCAAGGAAGTCTGGAAAAAGATGCCGCACATCCTCGATTATCAGTCCAAGTGTGTATGCAAGCCAGAGGACGGCTGCGGCGAGTCGTGCCAGAACAGAATCATGCTCTACGAGTGCGACGACACAAACTGCAACATCGGCAAGGCGCGCTGCACGAATCGAGCCTTTGCCGACCTGACAGCCCGGCGAGCCAGGGGCGGCAAGTACCGCGTGGGAGTCGAGGTCATCAAGACGGCCGACCGCGGCTACGGCGTCCGCAGCAATCGCTGCTTCAAGCCGCACCAGATCATCATGGAGTATGCGGGCGAGATCATCACCGAGGAGGAATGCGAACGACGAATGAACGAAGTCTACAAGAATAACGAGGTACGTCCAGAACATCTATGCCACAGCGCGGTACTCTACATGCGTGTCATGTCATGTCACGTCACGGGGCTAACATTGCGTCCTTTTGTCCCTCGGCAGTGCTACTACTTAATGAGCTTTGACCAAAACATGATTATTGATGCCACCACGGGCAGTATCGCCCGCTTTGTAAACCATAGCTGCAACCCCAACTGCCGAATGATCAAGTGGATCGTCTCGGGGCAGCCTAGAATGGCTCTCTTTGCCGGCGACAGGCCCATCATGACCGGCGAGGAGCTCACGTATGACTACAACTTTGACCCCTTTTCGGCCAAGAACGTCCAAAAGTGTCTCTGCGGTTCGCCCAACTGCCGAGGCGTGCTGGGGCCAAAGCCAAAGGGCGTCAAGCCGCCACCCAAGGAGGCTCCCCAGAGCGCCGCCAAGAGCAAGGGCAAGAGCAAGAGCAAGGGCGGCAAGCGGAAGCTCGGCGAGCTCTCGGGCAACGAGGAGAACGAAGAGCCGGGCGCCAAGACGAAGAAGCTCAAGACGAATCAGCCCAAGGCGAAGCCCATTAGGACACTCAAGGCAGTCAAGGCATTGAAGCCCATCAAGGCGCTCAAAACCCCCAAGGCCCCGAAACCCGTCCAGAAACAGCTCAAGCCCATCAAGGTCGCTCAGCCTGCCAAGGGGCTACAGCCCGTCAAGACTCTCAAGCCCATCAAGATGGGGAGGGCGAAGCTCACAAAGTCCGCAAAGGTCACCAAAACCATCAATGTTTCCACTGCTTCCAAGGTTTCCAAGGCTTCCAAGGTTTCCAAGGCTTCCACGGTGACCAAGGTTTCCAAAGTTTCCAAGGTCTCCAAAGTCTCCAAGGCCGCCCAGTCCAAAAAGGTCGCTCAACCCGCAAAGAATGGCAGGAAGACGCCCTCCAAGGTCAGCATCAAGGTGGTCAAGAGCCCGGTGAAGCCCAAAGGGCCACGCAAGAAGCAATTCGGCTCAACAATCACCGTCAGCGCAGCCCCCGAAATCATTGCCGCCGTCTGAGCGAAACTCGACCTGAGAGGGGTTGCACATCTCGGGACGGCAGTTGCGGTTCAACTCTGTGCCTGGACAATGCTGAGACCACTGTGCCCTGCCATCTCGAAAGTGAGAGACACGGCTCCTTGAGCCCCGGAGTGGTTTCTCACCATTCCATATCTCGTCATATTGCTCTTTCATCTGCATCTGTTCTGATTTCATTTTACCCCCCCTGTTGCTTTTAGTGTGGGGACAAGGTGCGTGATAGATTTATTCTTTTCCTGGTTCTTTCGTTTCCGTTGTGCTTTTCATGTATTATCTCAATCTTCTTTTTCTTTTACTTGGTGAAGGATCATCATTCCGAGGACAAAGGAGGGAATTGAGTCGCAAAAAGGGTTTGCTTTCAGGTCTTTGCATTCGCCCATGTCTTTTGTAGTAACGTTTTGGAGTTGGGGGACGGCAAACAATCTGTGGTTTAGGCGATAATGAGAGCTGATGATTTGGGTACGATGCCATCTTTCGACGACAATGTGACTGTCTCTCGTCTTGCCAATGTTTGGCTTTGGATGTGCATATTGAGGTCTTGGCTCGCTGTTTGAAGTTGTTCCCACAAATATGTCATGTCTCGTTCCCACAGATATTGGAGGTATATCGCTGTATCATTGGCGTGGATATCAGCTGAAGGCGGACATTTCCTTTTCCTCTTACACTGTCATTCATCTTCACCATTGCATCAAGTCATAGGATCCGTGGGTTGCCAGACGATCCTGTATACACTTCAACGTTCGACCTAATCCTAACACTCTCAGTCCATCCTCGTCGAGTCACACCACGGTCAAGCACAGCTTCTCTACTTTCTCTAAGGCGAATCTCCCACTCCTACTTGCAAATAACAGAGACCAAGAGCAATTGTTCCCTTCCGGCATGTCACAAAGAGAATAGCAGTCTTTTTGATTTATGAAGAAAAGTGTACTGAAATATTGGAGAATAAGAATGGCGTACGAATGGAATATCTACACAACTTGCCCAAACCTGCCCAAACACGTGGAGCCAACTTTCCCAGTACCGGAAATGGTCCTCATCAACACTTTGTGGGCTTTCTCACGGGCACACCTTGACCCCGGGCGGGCATCTCAAGCACCGACGGCGGTCTGGCACAGAAGAGCCTGGCCGGCCTGCAGTCTGGGTGTCAGAATGGGTTTGCCAAAGACTGGAGCTTGAGCTGGGGCATCAACTTACAACGGGGGCCACGCAGCAGAGAGGCTGGGCGCCGGTTTTGGCGCAGACGTTGCGGAAGTCGGTGCCGTCGTAAACGTTCTGGGAGGCTGTTCAGGGGTAAAGGAGTGAGAAGGCATATTTCCGTCAAGAGGATTCTTATGTTATGGCTCAACTTACGGACTTTGCAGTCAAGGCCGATGAGGCCAAGGACTTGGGTGGCACAGCACTGGGGGTTGCTGAAGAGGCCGGGAGGGCAAACATTGCCGTTGCCGTTGCTGCGGTCCTCGAGAGGCTGGGCAACGGCAGCGGCGGCAAAGAGAGCGGCGATGGCGAAGAACTTCATTTTGAAGAAGATGGTGGTTGTGGTGAGATTTCAAAGAATGGATGTTGATTCAGATGTACTGGTAAGGGAAGTTGACTGGAGGTGTTCAGGCTGGCTCTGGTGCTGATGAAGGACAAGATGGAAGGAGATTTTGAGAAGACAGAGAAGGGATATTTATATTCTTGGAGCTCTACATCGCTCACTGAGTCGAATGATGCATCCTCCCAATACCACCTCACCCAGCCATCCTCTTCGTCCCCCCTTTCCCGGTCAACAATCTCAAATTGGCAACACAACATGACGGCTGAGTCCTTTCCCGTCGTCTCCACGCCGTCATAGACGCTCCCAATTGTCCTCTCGGGGACATTTCAGCTAGCCCGGCCGCGTCTTGCATGGCCAGTCGGTATCACCAACTGCCACCTCTCTGCAATGGCAATCACCCAGGTGGATATCTAATATCAGGTTGTGTGACGTTGCCAGGAGCAGAGTTGGAAGGCGGTGCTGCTCTGTGGCCGGATTGTTCTCTCCGTCCTGGCTCGGGTGCTGCGGTGATGTAGATCAAGATCCTGGAACGCAATGGTTGGGCAAAGGTAGCTGCAGCTGTGGTGAAGCACGTATCTGTCGAGATCAGCTCATCTCGACCCAAAGGTGTGAATCCGTTGATTCTCTGCCGTACGATGTCCCAAGAGTCGAGGAGGGGCGTACCACCCCAGCTGCTCAAGACCTCTACTCAGTTTGTTTTTGAAATTTCTTCACTCATTCAAGGCTACGAACTTAAGCTGGAAGTTAATTTCATCGTGAGGACTAATCCGTCTCAGAGTTGCACGCTGAGAAGACGCATATGGGGACTCAATGACACAGGGGGAGTTGTGGTGCGTCCGGGCAACTCACCATGTCTCAGTGATCGAGATCAAGGTGCCGAATCTAGATCCATTGGCAATGGACCAACCGGATCTGGGCTCTTGAAGTGATCCTTTGCTCCGACATCCGCCAGCCGCAGCCCCCAACTCAGTCTGTTGGGATCACAGATGAGTGATGCCAAGTTACAGGGGAGTTTAACGGGAGATCCGTTGGGCCGTGAAGGGTGCATCATTGGCCATGCGCGATGCTGGCCAAGCTGCATATCCAAGGCGTAGGAAGAGTGAGCCTGCTTAACCCTTGTCTGTGGATAGCTTTGCTTTGATCGAGAGAGACTTTCAACAAGGGCCGTTCAGCTGAGTTTAATTACGCTTACATTTGCCAACTGCAGGCTGTATCATCCTCTTACTGTTATCGGGAGTATTGAGGATCGTATTCAAAGCCCGAGTGAAAGAGTGACTGACTTAATACAGTCTTACTGTAAGTATCCTTAAGGGTCACCTAAGCACTGGTTGGAGACGCTTATGCGATAGCTGTGAAGCTTTCAGCCCAGCAATGGGATACGAGGATTGCCTACCTCACACTTGTCGTTTGAATGATCAGGAGATATGCAACTCGGTGTCCCTCATTCGATATTAGCCACGCTTGGCGATGACAAGGGCCTTTCGAGATCCAGCCATACAAAACCGTGCGTTGAGTGTTACCACTGACAGCCCACATGCAAGGCGAGCCTTCGGTCACTGCATCTTCGGTCTGTGCGGCAAGGGAGCAGACGCTTGATGCCCATCATTCTTATCCATGTGCATGGTGAGCCAACAACGCCATACCAGCCGCTTTTCGTGGGCGATCTACGGGATATTTCTGAGACCGACCTTGCCGTGCCATCTGCAGACGGCGATCCAGGGGGTTATATCAAATTAAGGAGCTGATGCTGGTAACTCAGACACTCCTCTTTATCTGGCTATCGCCCCAAACACTCTGTGGGCAGACTGGTTGCTCTACGTTCACCAAGTATAGAGCACATACTCTGTACTTACATGCAAGCAGGCGCTTTCTGTACCACCTACATGGGCCACAGAGAACGTCCTCTACAGCGCGGTGCTTCGTATTCTGGGCTTATCAACGGAGACGCGGGCCGGTCGAGAACGGCCAAGACCATGGCCGCTTGCGCATGGATCGGGATGGAAAACAAGGAAATTTCCCGGCCTGGCGCGTCACGACGGCGGCTATTTCTCTTCCACTCCCGTCCCTGCTAGCTCAAATCGTGGCTGTCTGACGATGGCTTCCGGCAGATATCCCGGAGCAGGGCCAGACGAGTGGCATGCCTCAACGCCATCCCGCAGCCCTCTCTGGTGAGCCAAAGACATCAGACAGCCAGGCACCAAAAGGACAGGGCTGCTGATAGGTTAATCCCCCGTGGATCAGGTCCATATCGATGCATGTACGAAGTAGCATCCTTGGCATGGTGGCCTGATGAGTGCTTCGCTCAAGTCCAACAGGGGACTCACCTCAGCTGCCCCAGTATTGTTAGCAGGAGGCGTTCTGCATAGAGATCCATTGGTGAGGGGAAAGCAGGGGTTATTTTTGGTCATCATAACTGGTACCAGCTTCATACTTGCTGATTTTGTCTCCCCCTTGTTACAACTTTTGCACATTCAGTATCAAACATTCATCCACCAAGAAGCTTGTGGGAGTTTGTCTCGGCCTGGCGTCTTGGGGGCATACGGCCTTTCTCGCAAAGGCAGACAAAGGGAGAAAGGGAGGGAGAGGCTTGGCTTTACCGGCTACCAGGGATTCCGAGAGCTTGTCTCCCTTGACTAACAGTCTCAGCGGTCCTGAACCTCCACGGCATCGGCGCCCATTTGCCCGTGGCAACCATATGCGTGTAACACACTCATGCAAGGCGTCGCCTTGGCTGCCAGGCAGCCGTACGATCTTACATCAGCTGGTTGGGGCGGGATAGTAATGCCAGGATTCCAGTGGAGTCTTTCCAGTGACTAAACATTAATCAAAACATGCATATTTGTGAAATTTCTGATGAGCGTGGTGTTGCTTCATGACGCGAAAGACGGCAGCGAGGGGGGTTATTGGAGTGCTGGCCAACGTAGTCGGATTACCCTACAACGAGGCGGATGTTGGTGGAAATGAGGAAGCAGTACGTATCAGGGATATTTGATGTTGAGATGCAAGTGAGAGAACTCATTTCAAGTTGTGATTCATATCCTGAATCGCAGGTGTAGTAGAAGTTGTTCTATAGTCCTGTAGTTTTCATGGTTCAAGCGACTCAAATTTCTTCATGGTGGTTGTGATACTTATTCTTTCGAACGTGTGATGAGCATGAGATGTCCTTACCTAGGACTCGTCGACATGGAATACCTACCTACTGGGTAGGTTCATAAAGGACAATAACTTGCCAATTAGCACGTGACAAGCCATAATCATATAGTGGTCATTATATCAGTTTGTGGACCAAAGGAGAAACACTGAAAACCGAGGTTCGATTCCTCGTTATGGCATAACTTCGATTCTTTTTTTGGCTCTTTTTTTTTTTTTTTTTATTGCGGGAGCCACTTGCCAGCTTCATTCTGAGTCCTTTCCTCCACCCACAAATCAATTCTGGACTCTGATTCTTTCACTGTCAGATGGAGGATCAGTACCGGATGTTGATTCACCCACCTGTTATCTGTATCGAGGAGCTACTGAGTAGGGTGGCCGATGCATTAGATGACTCCTTATCAACTAAGGTGACGATAACGGCAAGTAGGTGAACGACTTACTAAGCAATTGTAGATCGATATCGCAGTGCAGTCATCTCAGGTTCAAGTTGCTGAGAGGCTCGGAATGACAGGTCTCGCGACCCAAAATCTACCTACACGCTCTGTAGAGCCCAGGAAGAACCCTGGGATTTCATTAGAGATTCCTGCTTTTGCGGTGAAGAATGGATGTGTGACCGCCAAGTGTAACCGTGATTGGCTGGTTGGGAGGTCAATGCCATCTCAGCCACTTTCCAGAGGCTCAGTTTGAGCGCCTCACCAGCGAAACCACGAACTGTAAAAAAGGCAGCAAAGACAACAGGGGTATTCTTCACTTTACTTGACAAAAGGTGGTCAAGGAAATGGAAAAAGCCCTCTAATTATCCATTCTCATTCTGCCGGGATCAAGCATCGTGGTACCACTTCGTGGTATTCCACTCTTCATCAGCAGACCGTCTGCAATGACGGCCGATACTGCACCCTCAAAACTGGGGATGCGGTCAACCTCGTTTTAAACGAAATAATTACCGAGAGATTCTCACAGACATTTTGGGATCCAGTAACAAGCTATTACCCTTTGGACGATTTTGCTCGCTTGAAGGACGATACGCAGAATCATGACCCCATCTCTCCACCCTCACTAGGAGAGATCACACTCACTGAAGCCTGTTGGACGTGGAGGTGGCCCTCTTCTTTAGCAACGAACAAGATGCTTTTTTTGCGAAGAATAAACTTTTGACACACTATCTATATTCTCGGTACATGAAGTGAATGGACGACACGTTGATGCCAGAAAACAAAGAACCTAGAAAAAGAAAACAAGGATAGATGCACAAGCCAGATGTCCAGGAGGCGACATCATTCAGCGATGTGCGACGATATCTTCAACCAAGCAAAACGCCTTCTTTTCCCGTCGCAAATATGATCCGTGGTAAGAAAAAAGACGCAGCGCTGTTGCGAATATTGTCGCAGTCGTCTGCAGTGACTGCTCAAAACGGGAACCGTTGCAGATGCGGCCTTGCAAGGCGTTGTAGGTGAGACCGCTGCCCGCCGCCCCTTTTCCTCTTTCGCGTTGCCAAATACCAAATGAAACCAAACAAAGTTAAAAACCAGAATCAGAAAGTAGAGCCGGGCGTAGAAAAGCAAAAGACCGTAGACTTTTAGAGCGAAACCGGGGTATCTTGAAACGCCAGAGCCAGTTCTAAGGAGCAACCGCCAGGTGTAAAGACACCGCAGGCACATCATTTCGTGGGTCGGGTTGGTCCCACGGAATCCCGAGAGACGAGGCAGTTGCTGCAGCGGGGATGTTGGCAGCTGATCTCGGTGCATTGCACGTCAACTTCGTAAAGGAATCCTGACATTCCGCACCGGCAGCACTGCCAGGTGCGAACGAACTGCGTCTGTCCAGAACCCATCTTTGCAGTAGATTTGGCTCTGAATTGTCTTCGAAGTTTGGCGTTGGAAAAAGACTGGGGTTCAAAGACTTGTCGTAAAGCAGATATCAGGGAGAATAGAGTGCTATTTGCTATCCAGATAGGTCGTGATGATCAATGATATTGAGAAGGCTACGCTGGAAAGGAATGGGAATGGCATCTTTATAGATGACCGCTTCTTCGCGGAATCATCAAAGTGCTGCGCAGACGAACCTCGATTCTCGAGTTGCGCAAGAGTAAAAGAGCAAGTATTCGGCCTCGAATCCAGCAGCGCCATTGGTGAACCACAACTTGTTGTCGGTAGGTTTTCCACTTGGTGCGAAACCGGTGGCTTGCCGAGGAGTTTTGAACTGTAATGAGAACAGCATTTGGTTCAAAGAGAGCCGACTTCTGAGAGATCGACCGGCGAAGGGGAAGCGAAAGCCAGAAATAGACCCTGTCTGGCGCTACTCAACTCCAAGAAAGACGCCGGCGCAGCTGCTCGCCTCGCGCAAATTTTGGGAAGCCTTGCAGGGGAACATTGTCAGGTGAGTGTCAGGTATGGATCTTTTCCATCCTTTTCCTGTGACGCCAGTCGTAGCCCAAAGCAAGCAACAGCGCAAAGTCGCGTAGAGGGAATGTTCAAAGTCGACAAGCGCTCAGCGCGAGAGTTGCGCCGATGTCATGTCCATGGTGTGGCCGATTCTATCCCGACGAGGCTGCGTGGAAGCTCGGATCAACACTTGCGACGGAGCCTAGCGGGCAGCTGAGTTGTTGCTCATGCAGAAACTCAGAGAATTCCTCCATGTCTCTTCTCTGACTCTCTCTGCTTTGATCTCTTGTTCGCGTAGTGAGCCCGTCTGCTTGAGCATACCCTCGAACTTTGACGACGACGATGGCCTTCGTGCTGTCCCCTGGCTTGAGAACAACCTCTCAGGTAGAAGGCCTGTGAGTCGGTAATGGTTGCCATTGTGAGTATCTGAGAGAGACTGTGAGTAACGTAATAGGCCTTTGACTTGGTGTGATACTTATTGAACCAGCGATTGCGTAGGGTTGGACTCCCTGAGCACACTCCACGCAGCTTACTCACTCGAGCGACAACAACAGTATAGAAGAGGGAGCGCAACATGGAACAAACATATGCTCGCATAAGGACACGAAGGGACGGACGGGGTTTTATATTGCATTTCAGACTGTCAAGAGCCATCCAACGACGACTGTCACAAGGGAAGAAGCGAAGCGGTGGTTGGCGAGCCTCGTGCTGTCCAAACCCAGCTGTCGAAAGCCTGCATGCGTGGCATCTGGGCTCAATTGGGTGGGTAGAGTCTCAGGTAGGGCCAGAAAAGTTGGCCTCACAAGGGCATGTGGCTGCAGGACAGCTGTGATGGTGTTGCGCATCTGTCCAGTTGGGGGGTTTTGTTGTTGTTGAGGCTGAAAACAGCCTCGAAGCCTTGCGCAGAGCCTCAAGTTGACGGGCTGTAAGGCGTGGGGGTGGTGGGGATGGAAAGAAGAAGAAGACGATATCATTGACCGGGCTTTCACTCGAGTCGGCGCATTGACTTGCAGAATGAATAAAGTGGACGAGTAAATGTCGAGGCAGCATCTCGATGATGTTAAGGATCGCGATGCCTTATTCTGCTGCCATTGAGGATTCCTCGTCTGGGTGCGCTGTACCAGGTACTAGTAAGTAGTAATGTACCTAGGTTGTACGGAGAACCCGACAGTGCTTCACAGGTACCGCCTGTGCCCTGGATATTCCGTATCCGGTACACACGGATGGAGCTTAAATGAGCTGCGACAAGGAAGCAGGAATGATCTCCCTGACAGACACTGTGCAATGCCGCCAGAAAGACACTTGCTCATACAGTACGTATTGTTATCGATTGGCAACCTGCAGCTGCCGGGGATCCTGCTCCCGGCAAGAATTAAGATTACGGCTTATATCATCATCGAGCATCGCATCGCATCTTGCAGCTGAGACTTCAACCCCCCGAAACACCAGACCAGACGACGCAGAACAGGAGCCAGCGACCGACGACGGGCAGAGCAGCGGAACTCCACGGCAGCGAAGAACTGCCACCATGGTGCCGCCATGTCGCGCCGGCATCACAGCAGTCGCGCCAGCACGCGATGGGCGGTGCGCATCGTTCCCTTGTTTATCCTCGGCGTGTTAGCCGTGGCCACCTACGCAGTCGTCGATCGCCTGTGTGGTGAGTTGGAGTCTCTTCCAGACGGAAAACGATGGGGAGCCCGCTTCTTGCTGACCAGCATCTCTCTTCATCTAGTCAACTACCTATACCGAAAGAAGCACCAGGCCGGCGTCGTTACGGCATTCCTCGTCCTCTATTTCCTCTTCTTCCTCCTCATGATGGCCGCCTACCTCCGAACCTTCTTTACCGTCCAGTTGAAACCAGGCGTCGTCCCTCTGGCTCCTGAGGAGCAAACCGAACGTGAGGCTGCTGAGAAGCTACGAAAACGACACAAGCGCAACCGAGATGTCGAGGACAGGGCGCTGGCGCCTCCCGACCCAAACCCGGACAGCCCCGGGCTCGAGGCCTTCTACAGCAAAGACGTCTTCGTCTGTGAGGCTGACGGCCGTCCTAAGTGGTGCTCAGAGTGCCAGCAATGGAAGCCCGACCGCTCGCATCACTCGAGCGACCTGGGCCGCTGCGTCAGGAAGATGGATCATTTCTGCCCTTGGGTTGGTGGCATGGTCTCTGAGACTTGTGAGTTTACAGCATCCCCCTTTTCGCAGAGAGAACAGAGAGCCCACGTCTCGTTCTGGATGCTGGTCAAGAGAGAATTTTGGAATCTAAACAGACGATCCTGTCCTTTGCGGGGACCGTAGCCTTCAACTTCTTTACGCAGTTCTGCTTCTATTGCGGCCTCTTCTGCGCCGTGAGTCTCGCCGTTGGAGCATATTCTTTCCAGCAGCACCACAAAGATGGAGACCCTATTGACGGCTGGGCCCTTGCGATTATCGTTTTGTCCTGCATTTTCGGTGCCTTTACGACGGGCATGGCGCTCACCTCCATTCGCTACATCCTCATCAACACGACAAATGTCGACATGCTTAAGAGGCCACAGACCACCACGTTGGCGGTCCGCATCCCCCTGTCTACTCCGCCGTCGGACAAGTATAACGTCATTGTTTATCCGCTTCGAGGCCCGCCGCGACGACCTGGCTCCGAGGGCCAGCAGCCTCACACCCATCACGGCCCCATGTCTTCCAGAGATCAGCAGGCGGAGCGCAAGTTTGCCATCCTCCGCACGAAACCACGCGAGAATCCATGGGATCTGGGCGCCATGAAAAACTGGAAGTCCGTCATGGGAGACAACTTCTTGGAGTGGTTACTTCCTATTCGACACTCCCCCTGCTGCAACCACGAGAGTATGGAGAGCGATTACCGATTCGGCCCTCTAGTCTCCAGGTTGAGGAAACGCTATGGAGTCCCCGAGCTGAGCACCTCTTCCCGCAGCGGACATGGCGTCGAGCTACAGGAGAGAGCGAGCCGACGCGCCAGTCAGTGATGGAATAACTGACCGATCAGCTCCCCTTCACGATTCCTATCACTCCCTGTACTTCATATCATCACTGTTTCCATTTTGTTTCCCCCTTTCTCTTATTGATGGCGCACCTTGGTTGGCTTTCTATCATACACATATTGCCTAGCTTTTTCTTGGGTCGGCGCCTTGTATTCCCCCTTTTCTCCTATTCTCTTCTACGTTGGCGTCATTGCAAATCACGGGCATAAATAGGGGCCGTGGTTGTGTGAACTCTTCCCTCCACCGGACAACACATGTACATAATTCATGAACACGGCAAGGGAAGGTCGGGAGCAGGGATGTTCTTCATATATCTGTGGGTCAGGCTGGACGGAAAAACGCATCAAGAGGTTCGCATGCAGACGGTGGGATAATACTACGAACTAGGACTAATAACGGGCAAGAGCCTGCAGCCAGCGATGGCGCATGCTCGCAGGTCAAATAATATCTTGTCACATCTTTCCGACCAGTGCAGTCTGCTTGAATCTATCGCTGGCTCGCCGGGAGAAGACATATGCCTATACGCATGCATGCTGCTGCATTTCCTGGTTCTGCCCCCCCCTGAATACCTACCTTATCGCGGGCACGAGCCACGGCTAAGTGACCTTATGCTCGGTGGGCAGGCAGTTTAGCTGGGCCTTTGCATCCGATATCCGAGCAGTTTAACCCATCGGCTCTATGCACGATTCTCAGACAGACTGTTGAAAGGCCCATGATACTTTTCAGGTTAGGGTTCGTCGTCTGTTGCTTCAGACAACGTGTATTAACGTCTGAAGTGTGTTTCAAGACATCTCGAATGCAGCATCGGCTTGTCCATTTGTCCAGCAGGAAGCATCAATTACTCTCCATGAGCAGAATGAAGCTGCTGCGTCCAGGCATCTACCTTGGATCAGCGGAAGATGATACTGACCAGTACCTTATGTCTTGATGGTGTTGTTGATGTCGAAGTACCTAGTAGTAAGACGGTAATACGAGTGCCTCCCTTAATGGGTGTAAGCGACGCCTGCACCTGCCTGTAAGGTACTACCTACGAATAACGGAGCAATCGGTACCTGATTAGCGGAGCTGTCCAGTGTGGGTCGTTCCGTCAGTCTCCGATCAGAAGGAACCACCAACATCGACCAAGTACACCACTATCATTTTCTTCTTCGTCAACCTCTCATCTTTCCCTTCCAGCTTCCGATGAATCACTCTCGCCAACCTCTAGCATCGCAGTCTGCTGCTTCTGCCTAGGTGGTTTGCCGTCATATGCCTTCGCCGTCTCCCGCCAGCGGCGCATCTTCACCGCTGCGCGATGCACGCCGTTCACGCTTTACGTACCGACAGCTTGCCCAGCTGGCAACGTATGGCACGACCACGCCTCTGCGCGTGATTGCGCATATAGACCTCGATGCATTCTATGCTCAGTGCGAGATGGTCCGTCTCGGCATTCCCGAAGACAAGCCTCTCGCCGTCCAGCAGTGGTAGGAATTGCTTCCCCCCCCCAGACTCACTACCCTTGTACTCACCAGCCACGACAAGCATCTGGGCGTGAATCAAGATTATCCCGTCCGGGCTGGCTAACGCGGTTGCGCTCTAGGCAGGGCCTCATTGCTATCAACTATCCTGCTAGGAAATGGCAGATTGGACGCCACTGCGACGTCGCAGAGGCGAAGAAGCTGTGCCCAGAGCTGATTGCGCAGCACGTGGCCACCTGGAGGGAGGGCGACGACAAGTGGGCGTATCGGGAGGATGCTGCCGCCAACATTGCGACGGACAAGGTGTCCCTTGATCCGTACCGCTTGCAGTCGAGGAGGATTTTGGCCCTGATCAAGGATTGCTTGCCAAAGGACCTTCAAAAGGTAGAAAAGGCCAGCATCGACGAAGTCTTCCTGGACCTCTCGGCCCAAGTCCACACTGAACTCTTGCGCCGCTTTCCGGAACTGTCCACCGCACCTTCGTCTGGCGACAGCGCTCAACATTTACCTTTCCCGTCTGCTGCCGCCCTCGACTGGCAGACCGACAACCTTGTCGTCCTTGAAGAGGAGCAAGAGGCCCTCGATCCAGACTGGGATGACGTCGTCATGTTGGTGGGCTCGGAAATAGTCCGCGGCGTCCGCGCACAGATACGGGAGCGGCTGGGATACACGTGTTCCGCCGGTATTGCGAATAGCAAGCTCGTCAGCAAGCTCGGCTCGGCCTACAAGAAGCCCAATGCCCAGACGGTGGTGCGCAGCCGAGCCGTACTGCCATTCCTAACGGGCATCAAAGTGACCAAGATGAGGAACCTTGGCGGCAAGCTGGGGGACCAGGTCGTTTCTATCTTCAACACGGAGAGCGTCAAGGAGCTTCGCGATATCCCCTTGGACCAGATCAAGGCAAAGCTCGGCGACGAGACTGCTGTCTGGCTCTACAACACCATCCGAGGAGTCGACCACAGCGAGGTGAACTCCCGTACACAGATCAAGTCGATGCTTTCGGCCAAGTCCTTTCGGCCCTCAATCAACACGCCCGAACAGGCCATTAAGTGGCTCAGAATCTTTGCCGGTGACATCTATTCCCGCCTTGTCGAAGAAGGCATACTGGAGCACAAGCGATGGCCACGAACAATCAACCTCCATCACCGTCACGCAGGACAGACGCGCAGCAAGCAGAGCCCCATCTCCCCCGGAAAGGCCTTGGACGAACAGGCCTTGTTCAATCTTGCCAAGGACCTCCTTCACCAAATCATGGCCGAAGGGGACGTCTGGCCCTGTGCCAACCTGAGCCTAAGCGTTGGTGGGTTCGAAGAAGGCGTCAAAGGCAACATGGCCATTGGCGCCTTTTTCAAGAAGAGGGATGAAGTCCCCCCTCCTCTACCTCCCACTGATACAATACCTGAAGGTCGGACCGCGGAGCAACCGAGCAAGAAACATCGACTTGATGAAGTTCGAAGCATCCAGCGGTTCTTTGCTAAGCGACCTGCTGGTGATGCAGCATCTCTGGGTGCAAACGGGCAGCTTCACGTCGAGCAGCTCCCGGCGGATGACACCTCTTCCTTTTGGCTCGACCACGGAAGTGAGGGGGCAGACACTGGCGGGCCCGGATCTCGATCTAGCCACAACACGACGGGCCCAGAGGACTCGGCCCAGTTCGCAATCTATGCTTGTGCCAGATGCAAAGCTGGTTTCAGTGATGAGGTGTCATTACAGAGTCATCAGGACTGGCATTTCGCCAAGGACATACAGGATAGTGAACGTGTCCCGTCCACATCTTCTCAACAGCCAACCCCCTCCCGCAGCCACACCTCCAGGAGCTCTGGTTCCGCTTCTAAACGCGGGCGCGGAGGCTCAAAGCTTGAGCAGGGACAGAGTAGGCTCAAGTTTGGCTGAGCAAGAGCCGCTACCGAAGCTCCGGGGCGTTATCCGCGGCCGGTAAGCTTGCTCGGCACCTGTCAAGAGTTTCTAGACCGGAAGATGACCCTTGGGTTCCTCACCCGAATAACTAGGCCGGCCTTTCAGGCACGATCAGCAGGTCACGATGGCGAACGACGAGACAATCCACAGCAAGCAGCCTGGTCCTCTCTTATTGCGCAGCTGCTTATGGAACAGCAGCGAACAGCGAGCACTATCACATTGCTTGTCCTAGTTCCTGCGCAGTCGTTCTTTTATGCCTGAAAAGGCACGAACGATGCCAATGTGTCCGCAGGCTGAGGTGCCTCGAAGCAAATACTAATCATACGTCCTCATGCCGATTAAAACTGCTGGACGCCCCAGCCACAATAAGCAAACAAATGGCCTGGGTGCCTTGGCTGATACTGCGTCAGCCCTTTCTTGCCCTTTGACATGGCAATGGCTCGCCAGGGTGTGAACGTCGTTGCCTCCTCCCCCGCGTTTTGAGGCAAGCCAGGCCCACGCTCCATGTGAAGACTTTCAGGTCCTGATTCGTCCAGGCAAGGCTTTGTTTGCCTCATACGAGTACCTACTCGTATGTACAAACATACTAGTACCTCATTACCGGATCCTACGAATACGACGTGCATCCGCGAAAAGTACCTGTACTTGCAAACGAGGACGGCGGCAGTGCAAGTGAAAATCAGGTGGAGGAGGAGGGCGGCAGCCGGTAGACGACGACCTGCATCATGCAGTCACGATGTTGTGAGCGCATTCCAGCATTACTGTACCTTGTCTCAAAACATGCCATCATCACACAAATTCCCAATACTTTGCACACACACTCATGGACAGTGGCAATTCATGTCATGCTCTGACTCTACCGACGATTGGCCCGGGTGGAACTGGGACGCTAGTGCAGAAACCAGTTGTCGACCAGTTGGGCGTCAATCAACCATAAGCGTTGATACCCAACCCTGCCAGCTGGGCGGACCGTTGATGAGCCCCTCCCCTTGGCTGGTGAGGTAATACTCGCGCATGGGCATTAGCCAGAGACTTGTTTGGGAGTTGACGATGGACTTCCCGGCGCGAGTACTCGGTACTCTGTGGTGCTGGCTTAGGTCCCTACCTACCTCTCTGCAGGCACTGCTTACGTGTAAGAGCCGACTCTATCCAAGCTATCATCACAGCAACCTGCTCAACGGCGCAGGCGGGTAGACGCAAGAGGACGGATGGCTGTCGACACCTTGCATGTACAGATCTGGTAATCCCATGGCCAACGCTCAAGCTTTTGGCTTGTGATTGCTGCTGGCGCACGTGCAACGACTTGACACTCAACTCTCGTCGCTTCTCCCAACGTCCAAACCTCTTGAAACCGACTCTGCTTTCGAGAGTCCCATTCATGGACATATGGAGGAGACAGGCTTGTTCTTCTTCTTTCCTTGACTCGTTCGCGCCACGGCTCCAAGTCCCTACCTTGAAGGCGACGGGAATGCTGCTGGACGAGCATCGTCAACGGCATCCACAGGATCGATGACCCCGCCTGATCTCGTGTACACACATCGCATGGAGTGTCTGGTGAAGCGGATACGCTCCGTATGCCGTAGAGACAGCTCGTCTCGCGATTCCTTGCCGAGCTGCAATCTGACCTCTTTCAACGCGGTCCAACTAGACGCAGGTTTCTACGGCATGCGCCACCAGGTACATGCGCAGTTCGGACGCAGACATGCAGACACGCAGACACGCGCGCAGTATCGCTGAGCTTTTTCGAAGGGAGCTTGCTCCAACGTACTGCAACATGGCTCTGCATGCGGCGAATCAATGAGCGCGAAAGCTAGAGGATCAATGTCCAGGCGTCCGAGACGGCAGTAGTATTCGAGACAGCAGGAACCAGAGATAACGGAGCCCCATGCGTCTGTCGCCAGTCAGGTACCATCGGCTGGGGTAGCGGCTGGCGCGGGGGAGAATGCAAGCCTTGCCGTCGTTGTTTGTCAATGCAAAAAAGCGAAACCGGGAAGAGACGGGTATCCGAAGAAGAAGAAAAAAGTGACGATGAGGAGGGGAGAACAAGGGGAAGCTTTCTGACAACCGGGAGAAGCGCCGGACTGGACTATGAAAGACGAGAAATTCCAAGTAGAAATAGGCATCATAAAAATTCTCATATACTATCCCAAAGCGAGGGGGAGATGCCGTTTGACAGCACATACGAACATATCAGGCCGGACAGCTACTAGGTATGTAGTAGGAGGCAGTTAGCCGGCTTGCCAGAGTACGCAGTACCTGAACGGGTAACACCTTAGTACTCGGAATAGTTGTATGTACGAATACGTACGTACGTGCCACTCCCTTGGGAGCGAAGGCCGGAGCCTGGGTGTAGTCATCGGTAGCAAATCAGCAGTTCGGTGTCAGAAGTCGCTTCGCGCAAGCACAAGCTCCAATGATAACAGGCGGTGCATCCGCAGCCCCGTCAGGCCATTCCACCACGTTTGACGCGCCCTCCATCCCCGTTGCAGCGACGTGCAGCGAGGCCCAACCTCGAGGCCCGGGAGAAGCGAAGCGAGGCGACTTTTGGGCTCGGGACTGGCGCTTTCGACGGGCCCCATCAACCAACTTGACAGAAGCCGCCAATAGGTCCCAAGCATGCAGTGGTGGGCTCGGATACGCACCACTTAAGCAAGGTCCCCCCCTCCTGTATCACTCCGTATGTACGTACGAGTATGTATGTACAAGGTCCCTCCAAGGCCCCCTTTTCCAGCAAGAGCCGGCAGTATTACCTTATCCTTGGTGGTGCTAGTACTAGCAAGCAGTAGTACTAGTATGTAATAGAGGTAGATAGTAGTCCAGTGCCTTTCAGCCCAGTAGGTAATAGGTAGGTGTCGTGGCTCTGTCCAGCTGTCGTAGCAAAAAGTCGTGGTAGTAGCAACAAATTCGAAATGATCATAACTTGTCCAGGCCTACATAGGTACCGACGGCTAGGTGATTTTAGCGATAATAGCGGGTGGTCTGGAACTGGTGGATGATGGAAAAATTCTGCTGCCATCAGGCATGTTCAGAGCCCAACTAACGCATTTCGTACTCCATACCTTACCTACCGACGGTTCGTACCAGGTAGCTGCTGGTAAGGTAGGTTAGCAGTCGGCAACAGGTCGTACCTCTAGGTACGGTAGGGTAGGTAGGTCTGCATTGCCCGACAGAGTATGAAGAGAGAGGGAGAGAGAGAGAGAGAGAAAGATCAACAGGAGAGATAGGAGCTGCTGCTGTTGTGCCGTGAGGAGGCGTCGAGACGAGCTGCGTTTCGTTGCATCGTGCGTGCTGTGCTCCATAAACTGCCGTGCATACGACACGGATACTAGTAATATGCTTGGTCGTGATATTATCTCACCAGCGTGTTCCGTTCTGTAGGAGTCAGTCAGTCAGCAGGCAGTTCCATCCCCCATCCCACCACGCCCTGTCCTGTCCTGTCCGGTGCTGTCCTGTCCTGTGCTGTCAAGCTTGTCCCCCTTTTGCGTGTCAACCCATCCATTCCGGTCCAGGCGCCCTATAGATATGTCGTATTATCCAGTCAACTCCCATGGCACGGAGGTGGTGGCCACGGGTATAGAGGCAAAGAGAGGTCAGGCCCGGCCCAGCCCAGCCTGGGCCGTCCAGGCAAGCCAGGCAGCCGATCACAATCCGCCCAACCACCACCTCCTCCTCCTCCTCCATCCACCACCACCCACTCGTCCGTCACCCATCAATCAGCACTGTCAACTGCAACTGCAACTGCAACCGCAACCGCAACCGCAACTGCGCTGCGGTGGTCGCATTCGACGTCGCCACAGCCACTGGGAACCGTCAGACGGGACAGGGTGCTGCAGCAGTGCAGACAACCAGGAGTGCAGCAAGCAAGGAAGCAGGGGTGAGAGAAAAAAAAAAGGGCCAGCGGATCTGAAGCCAAGCTCTGCAGCCAACGAAGACCTTGCAACGATTCGGCAGCAACTCTGGGAGGTCACCAGCGTCTCGATGCTCCTCACTGCCCCACCCCACCATTCACACCAGATCATCCGCCTTTTTTCTCAAGAAGACCAGGCGAGCTGTCGCTGTCGCTGTCGCTTTTTTCCTCCCCTTCTCTCCTCTTCTCCCACGACGAGACGACTCCCGCCTGCCTGCCTGTCTGCCTGCCTGCCTGTCTGCCTGCCTGCTTGACTGCGGCCGACCCCTTGTCCATCCTCTGCTGCGTCCTCCGTTCCTCCTCCATCCGTCGTCCTGCTATTTGCTGCTCGCCCACCTCTCCATTTAGCAAAGCGGTCCTGCCCTGAGGAGTTCCATCTGCCGCGCATCGTTCTCTCTCTTCCCCCCTTCTCCCTCTTCCTCTCTCTTGCTCTCTCGCTTTCTCGCTCTCTCTCTCTTTCTCTCTGGCGTCTCTCTCGTTGCTTTGTCTTTGAGTTTCATTGCCCTCCTCAAGCCAGATCCCGTTAGCTGTTCACCACCATGTCGCGACCCACGACTCGCATGAACGAGTATTTCGTGCCCCGTGATGGCATCGACCGTGAAGTCATCTCTGCTGATATCTGCCGGTACCTGGGCAACGATGCTCTGGTGCGACCCGGCCACTATGAGGTATGCCGACTTGAGCAGCACCAGCTTGGACAACGCCCAACCTGAGCACAAGCAAACCTCCCCTCCCTCCCTTTCCCGTCTTGGCTGGTCGCTAACGGCTCTTGTCCCCTCAGAACCCGCAAACTGGTCAACCCGTCCAAGGCTACTATATCACGGCCTATCGCAACCTGACGACCGTGAGTCCCCATCTTCTCTGCGCCGACCCGCTTCCCCGGCCGTGTCAACCGCCTCTTCTTTTGCCGGCCTCGTTGCTAAATCGTGACAAACCTTGGGTTCGCAGGCCATGATCGAGGATCTCAAGGCCGACTCGGCTCGATGGGATAGGGAACGCCGCGCGCAAACCGCACGCAACAGCAGCGGAGGTATCATCGCCTCGAGAGATGCCACTTACGGTGCCCCTA